ATCGAGCCCAATCCGCGTCACAAAATCCTTTAAGTAGCAAATTCCCTTTTGCGGGGAAGTACAATCCCTGACCAGGTGCACCTTTAAGATACCTCAAAAGGTGATGAACAACATCCAAAGGTGATTTTCTTGGCTCTTGCATGAACTGACTTAGAATGTGAACCGAATAAGTTATTTCTGGCCTCGTACTAGTGAGATAGATAAGTCGACCGACCAACCTCCTGTAGAGGGATGCTTTTTTCAATGGTTCACCCATTGTTGGTAAAAGCTTAAGATTTTCTTCCATAAGTGTCGACAATGGTTTTGCCCCAAGCAATCCTGCTTCATCCAAAATATCAAGTGTGTATTTTCGTTGTGATATTGAAATGCCACTAGTAGAACGAGCAACTTCAATGCCAAGAAAGTATCGAAGTGTACCAAGGTCCTTAATAAGAAATTTGGTGTGAAGAGATTTCTTAAGAGCGATAACTGCACCATCATCGTTGCCGGTTATGATCATGTCATCTACGTAAATGAGTACTGCTGTGAAAGAATTCCCAGAGGTCTTGGTGAAAGGAGAATAATCTGTCTTTGATTGGTGAAAACCATCTTGTTGAATAGCGCTAGAGAACTTTTGAAACCAACTGCGAGAGGCTTGTTTAAGTCCGTATAAAGACTTATTGAGTCGACACACAAGAGAATCCTCCCCCTGTCGACGGAGACCCGGTGGCATTTTCATATATACCTCTTCAATCAAATCCCCATTTGGTGGAGTGACCAATTTCGGATAGCCGCAACTGCAAGTATACAACGTACTGTAGTTAACTTGGCCACGGGAGCAAACGTTTCTTTATAATCTATTCCTTCTCGTTGAGTGAAGCCTTTGGCGACCAACCGAGCTTTGTATCTTTCAAATGTGCCATCAGAGTTATATTTAATCTTGTATACCCATTTGCATCTGATTGGGCGATCTCCAAGTGGGAGAGCTGTAATTGTCCAAGTCTGATTTTGTTCAAGTGCTTGCAATTCTACAGCCATGGCTTCTTGCCATTTTGGATCCAACGCTGCCTGTTCATAGGTCATAGGTTCCACCAAAGTAGTGACAGCACAAATAAAATTTCGATATTAAGAAAAACAATTTGTGTAAGAAATGTACCGGTGCAAAGGATGACGCGTGCCAATCGAGGAAGAAGATTGACCGGGAGAAACCTTGGTCATGTGGTAAAGATGAAAGTCTCGGAGTTTGACACTTGGTTGTTTGATTCGATTAGAACGACGGACAATGGTATTTGGGTTTGGTTCATCAGCATCCTGGTTAATGACGGGCACAAGTGGTGGAGGTGAAGGGCCAGTTCCAAAGTTTTGATTTGGTGTGTCTGTGGTTATCAAGTCATCAGAAGTGTGTGCTAAAGGAAGTACAACCTCATCTTCTTGTACTTCTTGTGGGATTATGAAATGGAAAAATGTGTTCGTGAAACACCACATCTCGGGATATAAAGAATTTATTAGTTGTAAGATCATAAACCCGATAACTTTTGTGACCTAGAGGATAACCGATAAATACGCATTGAAGAGCTCTTTGATCAAATTTATGTGAAGGTAGGAGATTAGTCGCATAACAAAGGAACCCAAAAATGCGAAGATGGTTGTATATAGGTAACTTTTTATAGAGAACTTGATATGGAGATTTATTAAAAAGAAGAGGCGTTGGTAAACGATTGATTAGGTAACATGCTGTTTGAACGCTTTCCCCCCAAAAATTTAATGGTAAGTTTGCTTGAAAACGAAGAGCCCTTCCTACGTTTAAAAGATGTCGATGCTTTCTTTCAACTACCCCATTTTGTTGAGGCGTTGAAGTGCATGAACAATGATAATTGATCCCTTTCACATCAAAATAATCTTTCATGGAAAGTATTTCAGTACCATTATCTGTTTGAATTGTCTTAATTCGACCATCAAACTGCGTCTCCACCCAAGAAATAAATGATTTTAATATCCCTTGTGTTTCGGATTTAAAGCTCATGAGGTGTATGTTAGGATAGTAGACTAAAAGTCTCGTTTCTAGCTACATTTTTTATTAATAAAATAGTTTATTATCATTTTATGAGAATCTGCACTAGGTTATTCAATGCATTTAATTGATTGTTTGTCAAGTAATTAAAAGCATAAGTCTAATATTCTAATAGTATTCGAGATGGTGTGCTACGGCGCACAGAAAGATCATTTCGAAAGTTCGTTTAGAATATAAAGATAAACGTTCACAATCTAGATGGAAATGGACTAACCATTGGTAAAAGATTGTAGCACAATATTTAAGTGATTGGTCTTGATCACAGTAAACAGCGACTAGTTTTTGTAGTTATTGTTTTGACTTATTGTGCTAGCACACCCGGCATGTGTTGAACCAGACCAAGTGAAATAATTGTTTCATCACTGTTCAAAATGAAACTGTATTACTTCTAGTCGACAGTAAATTACTTACTCTCTGAATCCCTAAATAATTAACGTACATATTTAATTGATGATCTCTACTTTGATGTCACAATGGGAGAGATTCCTATATTGAGTCAAATGGCCCCTGGTGCGTTGGGTAGAGACATTAAGAATTAATAGGTGGAAATTAATTATCGAAAGGAATCCACATCTCTGAAATATGAGATTGATATTAACCCTTGAGTAGCTTATAAGATTTGTTTATGCCAAGTCCTGGCCTGGTGGATTTCGTATCCGGCATACTCAAATAAGTTAAGCGGGCAAGACTCATGAAAAGAAACCATTTAATTTATTTAGCAGTGAATAAATTATTTGGTGGTTATAAGATATCTTAATGTGGGGAGAATCTAAGTAATGATCGACCGGAGCTCGAATGTAATATTTGAGAATATAAACAGGAGTTCAATAATTATTTGGTAGTGGAAAATAAATAATTAGTTAATGATTAATTAAATGAATTCTTTTAAGAGTTTGGATTTAATTAATTATTAGTTGCCCGATTTATATTTTCTCCTTTAGTCCCTATTGTAGCCCAATGGATTTTCTAATTAATCGAGAAAATAAAGTTCAACTAATATTATATATTGGAATTAACATAGCCGAAAATTAAGTCTCCATTGAACTGCAATTTTCGACTATATATAGTTATATAAGGAGTGGGATTTGTTCCCATGTAATCCTCTCTATGTGTGACTCTAATTCCTTGTGCTATATATAATAGAGATTAGGTTGATGAGAAATAATAACTCCTAGACGCCTATTTCACGTTGGAGAGAAATATTTTTTCTCTTCTTCTTTTCTCTCTAAATTCTCGATTATAGGTTTAGATTTCTTCAAGTACAAGCACCCTTGTAGAAGAATTATTAATCTGGGATATACAATAGAAGATTATAGGTTTTTAGAGCAAACTATAAATCCCGAATTTTCTGAGCTGTCCTGCGAAGAAATTCACCATAAATCAACCGTTAGTCGGATAGGCTCGAAATTTATACAGTAGATTCCTAACCCTTAGATCTACAATCTGTTTGAAGGGTTTCTCGATCGGATCAACGATCGATGAGATATCGGTGAAGGAAGAGGACTGAAAATATCTGGACAACAGCTTTTACGAAGGTTGAAGGCTTGACGTGGATCCTCGTCCGTGCACCGAAGATATATTCGACGAATCTGCTCGCGAAAACTGTAAGTTGCTAGATTAGATTTAATCCGCTTTAAACGAATCTAATCAAAGCATGTTAATAAAATTAAAACCGGCTAATCTAGAACCTCTTGCGAATTTTCATTGAATCCTGGGCTTAACATCCCAACAGTGTATCCTAGTATATCGAGTAAAATCATCAACAATTGTAAAAAAATGACCAGCTCCAGAAGTGGATTTTAAACGATGTGGTCCCCAAATATTACAATGTATTATTTCAAAAGGTGCATGGGAAGAAATAGAACTAGACGGAAAAGGTAATCGAGTTTGTTTAGCTAGAGGACAAATTTCACAAACATGACTCGAATCAAAATAAATAGCAGGATTACTTTTATTAAGGACTTGAAGCGGACGGGAAGAAGGGTTCCCAAGACGTTGGTGCCAAAGATTTGACTGTTTGCGGATGGTGAAAGCGAGGGCTGGGTTTTGGGTTTGTGTCAAGTAGTAAAGACCATCATGTTGCTTGCCCAGGCCAATCATCCTCTTCGTAGCAGCGTCCTGCACAACACAAAATTCGGAAGAGAATATTACTGTACAATTCAGTCCTTTTGTTAACTTACTAATTGATAGTAAATTAACTCTAAATTGAGGGACTTTAAGGACTTCATCAAGTTTAATGTTGGGTGTAATGTGTAAAGATGCAATCGACTCAACACGTGTCTGGCCACCATTTGGAAGTCCAATGGTGGTTGTTGTAGGCAAGATCTTTGAATCAAGTAACTCGCAAGGAGTTACATGATCTGTAGCCCCGCTATCAATGATCCAACACAAATGTGATTGTGTTATACGTGCAAAAGATCCAGATGAATGCATGATGTTACCTGCGGCATTGACGAAGTGTTGTTGGTTACCATCAGTATTGGATTTTCGTAGCATCGCCATCAATTGGTTGTATTCATCCGAAGTAAATTTTGGCACGTCATCCCCCGTGAGAGACTTTCCACTCGTTTCCGAAAATTTTGTCTGTCTCTAGGTTCACATTATTTGCGGTTGGACGCCGCTGATTGGGAAGCTTTATGTTCTTTCCATGGAATTTGTGGCCCACTGGAAAACCATGTAGGTAAAAACACTTCTCTATGCTATGATTATCTCGATCACAGTAAGAGCAATGCAGGGGCGTCCTTTGCCTTTGAGTCACCTTATTATCTCGATTTGTAAGAATTGCATGGTGGTTCAGATTCCCGCGATTAAGAGAAACTTCGGCCTGCTTTTCTTACTGAAGAACAAGAGAATAAACCCTCCGTGTATCAGGTAAGGGTTGCATCAATAAGATCTGCCCTCGAACAGCAGCATAATTGTCGTTCAATCCTCTGAGAAATTGCATGACTTTTTATTTTTCTTCTCTTTGCTTGAGTTTTTCCATTCCACCACATGTGCAGTACACTGACTCGTGATAAGACGAAAGTTCATCCCAAAGAGCTTTAAGTTTTGTGTAGTAGATAGAGATTGATTGTTGTATACTGTCCTGTCGGATTTGAAAGATCCTTGAATCGTTTCCCTGTGAGAAACGTTCTTGTAGATCTGCCCAAATTTCGGCAGTCGTTTCGGCATAAATCGCACTGCTCGCTATGCTTGGATGAATAAAATTCAATAACCAAGAGATTACCATGTCATTACATCGCTGCCAAGACGGGAAATCGTCATCTGTAGGAGAAGGGGGTTTGATCGAACCTGTGATGAATTCAATCTTGTTTTTGGCACTTAAACTGATTCTCATGGCCCGACTCCATGTGCCATAGTTGTCTTCTTCGAGTACTCTAGACATGAGTATTATCCCTGGATGATCTGAATGGTGTAGAGAATATGAATCAGTGGCTTTGATAATCACCTTAGTTGGTGTTGTTCCCACCACGTCATTTGTTTTGTCTTTCATGGTTTTGTAAATGAAGAATAGGTTGCGGAAGCGTTTATAGGGGTTTAGGTTTACCAGGTTCGGTGCTCTGGTACCATGAAAGAATATTGAGAGATGTGGAAATCATGTGTATTCAACTGGTAATCTCGTACAATGAGAATACATATCTATATAGTATATTGGCTATCATTATTCTAGGAAACTACTGACTAATGAATCAATTAAAATCAATTAAATATCAAAGGAATATATACTACTATTATTAATATATTTTCTTTCCCGTAATAAATAATACTACTAATACTACTACTAATACTAATACTAATACAATACTAATTCAAGTACTAATAGTAATGCCTATAAAAAAAAATGTTGAAATAGTGCACATAAATATTCCATTAAATAAACTATTGAAATATTGGGAAAAACTAAAATATTCCATTAAATATAATGCATATAAAAATTGAAATAATTATTGAACTTTATAGGAGACACTACATTTTTAATATACAACAAGGAATGAAAAAATAATTGCAATCTTAAGATCATACAATTTTGAAGTAGGAGTTCAACAAAAACGATTCCCCAAATATTACCAGTATAATAATTCATTACAATTAAAAACAATTCTTCAAATATTATCAGTATAATAATCCATTCCTATTAAAAAAAAAACCTCAAATATTGTCAGTATAATAATTCATTACAATGAATCTAGAAGTGCAAATAACATAGTTCAATTAGGAGTATAATTTTACACATTTAATTATCAATGAATAATTAACAATGAATTAGAAGTATACTTGTACACATTTACCTGTTAGATCCAATACACTAGTATTGTTATAATACTAATTTTCAATGAATTTAGTAACATAATTCAATTAGGAGTATAATTCTACTTATTTAATTATTGCATTCGATAAATTAATATTACTTTACTATTAATTTGCAAGTATTGTATTAACATAGTCTAATTAGGAATATAATTCTAGACTTTTAATTATATAACTCAATACATATTAGTATAATTTCAATACTAATTTGCAATGAATTCGGTATTAGAAGAACATAGTCCAATTAGGAGTACAAACTTCATATTTAATTATATAATTCAAGACATTAGTAGTTATCTGAATACTAGTTTTCATAATAAAACATACATTTAAACAAACAAAATGCAAAACATATATTAAATATAAATAACCAATAAATAATAATAAAAAAAATAATACAATATATCTAACCATTTTAAATCGTTTTCTAGTTTAATTTGTGTTATATATTTGTGCTTACGTTTTTATAAGTACCCTCATATGTGTGGACAAGTTGAATATACGCAATATTTATTATGAATACATTTTTAAACGATTATATATAATTATTAAGTATTTATTAATTGTTTATCATTACGAAAGTTTTCAAAAGTATTTATTAAATAATTAGTAAACATTTATTAGTTTTTAAGTATATATTAAAAAAACAACACTTAGTAATAATAATAATAATAATAATAATAATAATAATAATAATAATAATAATAATAATAATAATAATAATAATAATAATAGTTTTAAGTGCGCGTATTCTTTCTTATGTTTTATTGTGCACTAGCATTAGCTAATAATACTTTACAAATGCGGGCGATTGTTCTATTTCATTTAATTTGTAATAGTGCCATTTTTTTATTTAATATTATTTCCATTATGAACATGAAGTTATAAAATGTACTAAAGGCATGGATCCATTAAATTTGGAGACTAAAAATCTCGGCTAAGTATATTAGATTCGAAGTTTACATGATCATAAATTTGAAGAGTTGAATTTTATTATAAGTATTGTCTACTCTTATTCGCTTCATCTTTTACAGACGTTTAATTATCCCCCCTAAGAAAATTCCGTATTATATTGTAGGTTCTATTTCCCGTACGTACATCTGAGATGGTGGCTCATCTAGTAGCGGTCTTTGGCTACTTGGGAGTTGTTATATCCGTATTCGTCTACTTAGCTCCCGTGTGAGTTTTGTTTTCTCTATTTTATGTTTTTTGTATGATTTTTTTCCCCTTTACATTCAAATCCTGTCACAAGTCGGAAAAGTAGGGGAATGAATTCAAACCCTAGACCTCTACTCTTATAGTAGAGGTTAGGTATCAATTCTTTTAATAAGAGTTGGTTATTAGAATGAATAGATAAGATCAATCATTATTTCAAACAATACTCTATAAACTTTGATAATCATTAATTATGTTTCAATAATATCAATCAGAACACACCAATAATCAATATGGCCGAAACCCATTCCGATTCTCATGTAAAAAACATACATTTTGTTAATCAAATTTTTGATATTTTTTATGTGTTTTGTATTGGTTGTACAAAATGCAACACTGCATTTCGTGTAATGCAACACGAAACACATCATAGCATTTCGTGTTGTCCTATACGAAATGATAAAAAAGAGCTGATTTTTTTAACCATTTTGTATTGGTTTCCATGAAACTACACGAAATGCAACAGACAAAAAATACCCTATTTCGTGCTACAGAGCACGAAATGCAGCAATCCCTTCGTAGCACGAAACATAAACGAATTTTTTTTCTTCAGTTTGATCGATTCAATCATAGACCTAATCTAATCAATCCCACAAAACAAGACATGGCAACGTGTTGGGTCAGGTTGGGTCCGGGTCCGACTTTTAGGGGACCCAAAACCGACCCGTGGGAAGGTGGGTCCGCGTCCAAACCGGTTTTTCAATTTATTTATTTATTATTTTCTTTTTCAAAGAATTACAGGAAAGGAAAAAAAATTGAAACTTGAAAAAATTAACTTCTACTTAACATTATATTCAAATTTACAAAAAAAAAAAAAAAAAAAAAACAAACAAAGTTGAATTTAAACACTAAACAATTTTAGAAAAATTGAAACGAATAAGACCTTGAGAAATAAACTAAAAAAATTGAAGGTTGTAAAAATGAATTGGTGAAAATTGGATTGGAGGTATTTATAAGTGAAAATAATAATTGAGAGAATTTTCAAAAGTCAAAATTCAAATTTCAATCTTAAAAATATTTTCAAAATTCAATCTTTCTTTTAAATTACACGGGTTGAACTTTACTTCTTTATATTTTTTTAATAATTAAATATATATGGATTTTTTATTAGTGGAGATTTTTAATATTAATAATAGTGAGTATGGCAATTAATAATTTATTAAACATTAGTTATAAAATTATTATAATCATTTACAATTTTATTTATATTTATATGTTTATAATTTGGAATATTGTAATAAGTTGATTCTCTAAAATGGTCGGTACTTTACTAACCCATTAGGGTGACCCATGTTCGCCTCTCAAGCCATGTTCTTTATTGTGATATTTGCACATTAAATTTGGGTGGACCCGACGGGTTCCCAGATCCGGGTCCTCGAGTTAGACATGACCACCGATTTGGTTAGAACCGGACCTGAAACGGAACCGGGGTCAATGTTTTAGAACGGAACCGAAACCGGTTTGACCAGAATCAGAACTGGAATAGGAATCGGATCCGAGAAAATCGGTTCGGTTCCGATTCCTTATTTTCGGAACCGAGAACCTATGGTTAGAACCGCGGTTCTAAACGATTTTTTTTTAAATTTAATTATTTAAAATTTAACTTTAAACTATAAAATTTAAAAATAAAGTGCAAGCTCTTTCAATTTCTTTCCTTTTTTTTTATTATAAAACTAAAACTAAAACTAATTCCTTCAATTTTTTTATAAGTAAAAAATTATTTTTTGAAGTATTTTAAAAAAACATTAATTTTTTTTAAGTCTTTGAAGTATTCTTTCCACTATTTTTTCTTTTTTTAATTAACTATTTTTTAAAGTATTTTTTTTTTAATTCTAATATATATATATATATATATATATATATATATATATATATATATATATATATTGATATGCCTAATTCAGCCAACCCAATAGACTTAGAATTTATTTACCTACTAGGCCACAAGCCCAATATTGAAAACCAATATCACCAATGCCCAATTACCTTCAAATAAGGTTTGAGCCCAACAATCTCATCTAAGGTATAAATAACGATATAATTCATTTGTTAAAGGTAAGCCCTATTATCGAAAGAATACTAGGAGTCATATTCTCTCAATTATTCCTACTATCCGCACGTCTGACTTGAGCAGTGGAGGGGTTTCCGCCGGATCAACTCCCGGCCTAGTTCACGTGTTCTATGATCGCAGATATCTCAAGGTCATCAAGCTCGTGAGCTAGTGATCCACTCTGCTCTTCCAGCTCATCCTACTTCAACTATTTAAGGTGATCTAACTTTAGCGTCATCATATATATATATAGTCAAAACCGGTCGGTTCTACCGGGAGCCGAACCGGAATCGAACCGGAACTGTAAAGAACCAAACCACAAGGAACCGAAAATATTCAGTTCGATTTCGGTTCCTCCAAAATCGGAACCGAAATCATATTAAATCCCTAAAAAATTCCCTAAAAAAATCCCTAAAAATATCCTAATGCAGGCTCACGTTTATCAAGATATACGGTGAGAAGTCGACGGTGGGGTACTCGGTGATGCCTTACACCGTTGCGCTTATGTCCTCGGGCATCTGGCTCTACTACGGGGCCATAGAGAAAGATGGTCATTTACTGATTGGCGTTAACGCATTCGGTTGTGTTGTCGAGAGAGTGTACATTATCATGTACATTGTCTATTCACCTCCTCACCGCCAGGTAAAACAATTCCCGTAATTTTATAAGATAATTAATTAAAATATATAACTAATTAGAAAATCGATGATAGTTTATTTCATAATATTTTGTAGATTCGGACTATCCGTCTTTTGAGCATCTTGTTGTGCATATTATGCACAGTTATCCTTTTCACATTCTTTATGTGGAAAGGAAATACGAGGGAGGAGATTGTGAGTTTGGATTTGCTTTGGAGCATCCATATCGGTGTACGGGGCCACAGTTGGCAGCGTGGTAAGAATTAGTTTTTTTTTTTTTTC